GCTGAGGCTGATGGTGGCCGACTCCCGGTCGAAGGTGAGACCTGTGAATCTCTGAGAGGCTCGAGGGGCTTCGATCCCCTTGCAAAGCAGGCGGTCGCTCAAGAGTTCCGACCCCGCGCGCCTGGCCCCGTCCATGACAGCGGCGTGGCAGCCCCCGAGCGCGGCGACCCCGCCCACGTAGGTCGCGGCGGCCGCGTCGTGAGTCACGTCGGGGATGGCCCTGCAGTCGGCGACCTGCCTGTCCACAAGCGACTGGCAGAAGAACAAGCTCCAGTTCCACCCCATCGGCAGCGCCAGCAGGCGGGGCGCCAAGACCTTGCCCTCTAACCCCGAGAGCTCGATGTCGGGCCTCGCCGTGGGCAGGTCCTGGCGGCGGATGCGTGTGTGTGTGTGTGTGTGTGTGTGTGTGTGTGTGTGTGTGTGTGTGTGTGTGTGCGCGTGTGTGTGTGTGTGTGTGTGTGTGTGTGTGCGTGTGCGTGTGTGTGTGTGTGTGTGTGTGTGTGTGTGTGTGTGTGGGGGGGGTCATCATCTCCTCCAAGCCTGGCGGGCACTGGATGCGATAGAAGGCCGCCTCAATGTCAACCTGGGCGAGGGGCAACTTCTCGGCTGGGCGGGCACGAAGGCTTCGCCAGCATCCCGCACTCGGCAGGTTGACGGTGTCAGGCTCGCGAAACTCTTGATTGATCAAGCGGGTGTCCCAAATCATTCGTAAGCGATTCCCATCCTTGGGAACAAAGAACAAGCCCAGGGTATGCTTCTTGCGGCTGCCGAAGCGAATCGCGCCGGCATCCCAGAGGCTGCCCAACAACTTTCCATGCAAAACACGGCCACGACGGAGCTGCTGATCAAAGTATGGTCGTATGAGCTCACGAGGTTCATCAGGGCCACGCAAGAGGTTATTTGGCCAGTGATGCCACAACTCATGGGGCCGTCCAGTCAGGAAGTCCAGGGCGTTGCTCTTGGACCGATCCGTCGGGAGCGACATCAGACCTTCGGCGTGCATCACTGACTTCGCAGGCGCGATGTCGTAGCCTGGAGAAATACTGCACAGCTCCCGAAGGGCCGCCGCAGGGGTGCAAGTAGGAGGCCCAAGCCCATGAATTCGAGATTGAAGGTGATCGAGCCCAACGAAGTGGGCCTGCGAGAGGGCGCCGAAGCCGCCGGCACCGCCCTGGCCGTAGAGCCAGTTGAGCGCAGCGGTTGCCCCCTGCGCCCAGAGGTCGCAGAAGCAACGCTGACGCCCCCTCGCCCGTCGATGCCGCGTCGAGGAAGCGGGCCATGAAGAGACCTGGGTAGAAAACAAATGTACGGGTGCAGGGAGCAGCTCACGAGGAACCGGCAAACCCCGGCGGCTCGCCCGGGATCCCGCGGGCGGAGCCAAAGGGGGCGCACCCCCAGTCGTCATTCTCCGCCTCCAGATCCTTGGCCACGGCCCGCCCCTTTGGATCCCTGGGCGGGGCTTGGGCCAGTCGTAGTTTGCTCCTTCAGCTTCTTGTTCTCGGCCGTCAGGTGGTCGATCCTGCTCTGCGCCTCGGCGGCGAAACCTCCGCGTCCGCCGCCGGGTCCATCCCGTGCACGATTGGGCTGTCGTTCTTCTCGAAGCTCCCGTCGTTCCTTCAGAATCGTGGCCTCACGGTGCAGCTCCTCCGAGATATGCGAGGTCAGTGACGGGGCGACCATGAGCATTCCTCGAGTCTCAGACGTACCAAGATAAATATATTCATCCTCATCGACGTCTCCTCCCAAGGCTGCGCCAGATCGAGCTCCCAAGATACGGTCCTTCAGCATGTACTCAGCAAGCTGAGCGCGTCTAAGCACCAGCTCGAACGCCGCCAGCTCAGATATGTTCAACTGGTCACACCCTCGTGCAGAACTCATGCTCCGCCACCGTGGGGTCCGCTGACGTGAGATTCACCTCTGACCGCCACTTCGCATGGCGAGACCGAGGTGCGATGTCTTACTCGCTGGTGAACTTGGAACACCACAGAGTCGTTCTCGGCCCCTGCAATTGCCACTTGGCCCACTCGGTCACAGTCATCTGGCGGGTAGCGTCACGAAACGGAAGGTGCCGACTTCCATCTGCGTCCTCCACCACAGCTAGAACACGGGCATCAAGATCCGTGCCCCCGCCGATGGAGGTCTTCACGATGAAGGTCTGCTCGCCTTTCTTGCACATGGCGAGGCCTGAGCACACCACTCCGTAGTCAACGCCAAGGTCGAGCAACACATCGCGGCCAGCTCCGTCAGACGAACCCACCTGGACCCACTTGTCGGGCGTGGGGTCGGAGAGGCTATCCGAGATCTCCACCCACTCACTCGGAATCAGAGAACCATAAGGCTGTTCCCGGCCCTCCTGTCTCCGACATTGATCGCGTATTGTCTCGCCGTAGTCCTCGCCCGTCACGAACCCCAGGGCGTCCAAGAACTGCCTCGCGTCGAGCTGCCACTGGCGCCCGTAGATCTGAGGATTCCCCCGAGGCAGTCGAGCGCCCATGCCGAGGGCGCGGTTGGGCTGGCCCGTCGCGTCGCAAGGATCTATCCCCGCCACCGCGGGAGGGAGCAGGCAGTGCGGGTAGATATCCCCGTCTGGAGTGATGGCGTACCAGATCAGGACTCTCTGAACGGCGTCCTCGGGGGTTTCCTCGCCTGCGTACTCCTCGTACTCCCCAGTCGTCACTGGAGCCACCAGAACTCGTGCTTGCCAGGGCTCGTTGGCGCGCCACTGGACGAGGATGCGCTGGCCGCTCTTCAGCAAAGGGTTCCCGTCCGTTCCTGCGGCACCCGCGGCTGCGGCCATGGATGCCGTAGCCGACGAACACACCCAGCCAGAACGTCAGCGCGAAGGCGAAGCGAAGCGAACCCGCGAACTGCGCGGCCACCAGGCACGCGCTCGCCTGCGACGAGACCCAGCCCAGGTCTGGCAGCAGGAGGGAGGCGCCCGCGCCCAGCCCGCGGGCGAAAGCAAAGGACATGGGCCGCCCTGAATTGTTGCACTTGAGAACGGCATGGGCCCAGACGGCCACGGCGAGACAGGCTGACCAACAGGATGAGCGAACACATCGGACAATATATATATATATATATATATATATATATATATATATTTATATATGTATATGTATAGGGGCACATATATATGTGTGTGTGTGTATATATATATGTATATGCACACATAAACATACACATACACATACACACATACACGCATACACACATACATATACATATACACAAGGGCAAACGCATACGCACACGCATACGCATACACATACACGTACACATACACATACACATACACATGCATGCATGCATGCATGCATACATATTCGCATACACGCATCTATCTATATATATATATATACATACATATATATATACACATATATATATATATATACATCGAGTGTGTGAGAGGGGACAGCGCAGAACCAAACTATAATCTGATATGTATACCGAGAGAGAATCAAGGGAGAGCAAACAGAGAGACGGACATGGATAGCGAGAGAGGGGGAGAGAGAGAGAGAGATTGAGAGAAAATGAGAAAGAGATGGAAACATACAAAGAGAGTTCGGACGTCCCGGACGGCAATCGACGCAGGCGTAGGGCCGACTCTCTCGGTCGAGCACGGCGGCGCCAGAGCCCCTGGTGGCGCCGCTTTCAACGCCCCCCTGGGACGGGTATTCCACTAGCGGGTACTTTGGGCAGCGACACAGCGGACGCAGCCCTCCCCGATGCGGTCAACGTTGCCATGCCCGAAAAAAAGGCCCTGGACAGGCAACATTCGGCGGGTCTCCAGAACACCCGTTGGTGAATACCCATACGGGCCGTTGGCGCATGAGCACTCGGACACAAACGGCGAATGACATGGGTCAACCGACTACTCGTTTGCTTCCCACCCTCCCTCGGTTCCCCCTCCTTCCCCCTCCCCCTTCGACTGGTTGGAGGTTCGCCGTCCGAAGCTTTCCGGAGGCGTGGCCCTGACCGGGCCAACCCTAGGCCGCGAGGTGGGCAGCTGGCATCCCGGAACAGGGATAGGATCAGAAGGGAGGAGGGAGGATGATGGAACCTTACGAAGGAATGCGTCTCCTCCATTTTCCCATCTAAGTAACTCCTCCCTGTTGCACCCTGGTGGCGGTCGAAAGGGCGGGCCAGGCGTTTCGCCTGAGACTCCCGCACCATTTACGACCCTGAAACTCAAACGTTGGCAACAGTTTCGCAGGTGGAAAGCGTGTCTATTTCAGAATGCGGTTCTCGCCTTAGCGCCGCACATTCGTTTTCAGAATTTGCATGCGCTTCACGGATTGAAGGCAGGCGACGATCAAACAATGTGGTTCTCGCCTCATCGTCGCGCACATCGTCTTCAAACAATGCGCTTCAAATTCAGCATATAGTTCTCGCCTAAGCGCCGCGCGCAATCTTTTCAGACACTTGCAATCATTGCAGGGATTGGTGGGGGCTCGTTTTCAAACTGCGGTTTTCGCTTTCGCGCCGAGCACATTCTTCGTTACGAGGTTCAAGGGTTCCACGGATTCCCCTGGTCAGCGTACAAGAAGTCGTATGTTTTCCTCTCGATTCAACATGGTACAGATGCAACACATACGTTGGTTCGCGATGTTGAAGTCCTAAGAATAGTGTTCTTGCACGGTTCAGGATCGCCATGAGGCAGCAATCAAGTTGATCCGTGGCGTTGGGGTCCCGATAATGGTGTTTTAGCATGTTTCAGGGTCTTCAAACGGTTGTCTCCCAACGAGGCAATTCCCTCAGCAAAAATGACACTTGTAAGGGAGTATGTAAAGTGACCTCGGAAGGAGGGTTTATTCCAACATCGTCGGTGAGTCGTGGGTTTACACAGGTCCCCCTCCTTTTCCTCCTCCTTTTCCTCTTCCTCCCCTGGATCCCCCTGGGGACTTCCCCCCCTCCCTCCTCCTGTCCAGGAGGGGTGCAGCCCAACATTCCCCCCCATCGAAACAGACCTTGCGCTCGCGAAGATTAGCGCCTCCTCAGAGCGCGTTGTACTCGGCCATCTTGAACAGCAGAGCCACCTCCTCAGGAACAAAAAACAGAGGGAACGCCCCTACCCCGCACCCACCCCTGGGAAGGCATCGGGCATCCTCAGAAAAGGGGCCTGCATGATTTCCGACCCCCGGGGGTGTCTCCCGTCGGCGGCGTCTTGTCGAAAAGGGGGCCGCGCTGTCCCGATCGGCCGCCTGGCGCGCAAGTTACGCTGCGGAAATCAAACGGATGGAAGAACACCCGCAAACGCAGGCACCATGGGGGCGAAGTAGTTTGCTGCGAGCGATCCCAACCGAAACCTTCGGCGTCTGGTCCCCACGGTGCGCGCGCCGACTGAAAGGACGCGCGGCGCGCAGTGCCCGGCGGCGTCGGCCAGCAGATGTCCTCAAACTTCGGACCAACAAAAAAATGGGGGAGTCCTGACCCCCCGTCCGGCCGATCCTGGCGACCCGATCCTCAGAGTTTGGGGCGGCCATGCGTTGAACGGGCCCCAGAAAATTTGTCAAGACGGTGGAGGGAAAGGAAATGCGTTCAAGATCTGTCCCTGGACCCCCACCGGGGCCCCTCCGACGCAGTCGCTTGCCCCGAAGAGGAGGAAGAGGATGGGGAAGTGGAGTGGCGCGACGACGATTGCGGGGCGAAGCTGGACAGACAAAAAATGGACAATCCAATGACAGTGCCTCGGCACGGCTGACGTGCACGGGGGGGAAACAGTCTTTCGCCTGGATATTCATAACCCTTGCAATATGCCCCGATAGTGTCTCATGGTCAGTGGGCTTCGCCGATGACACGGGGAAAAAGGGATAATGCCGTCAAGCGTACAATAGGGTAACACTAAAGGGAAGAGGCCGGCCCGCCGGCCGACGCACGCGCGCGCGCCGCAGGCTCGTTCATTTTCCATCTCCCTACAATGTGGCATAGCTGCGGAAGCAGAAGCAGTCAGTTCATCGGGCAGCGCGCGCAAGGAAAAGGAGCAGAAAAGGGCTAAAGGATGGTGGTGCGGAACGGATGCATTGACTATCCCCGCGGCGGGGTCCGCGGAGTCGCCCCGACCCCCCACCCCACCTGACCTGCACACATGCACAGCCACCAGAGCGAACCCCAAAATCATTTTACCGCTCGACGGTGGTTGCCAGGGGGCGGAAGGCCGAAGAAACCCGACGCCCCCCGCCTGAGCTAATATTTCCCAGCTCAAACCGCAGTGCCCGTGCACACCTGGTGCACCCGCTCCATGATGCAGTTTAGTTCAGCGTCGGCTATGCCGTACTGGTTCTCTTGTGCTGCGTCACCTTTGCAAATGACTCCTCCAGTCGCGAGAATCATCCCACGTGTCTCTGTTGCTCCAGTTCCACTGGTACTGATCTCCGGAGTAGTTGTCATGTCTATTTTTCTTCTGCTTGAACTTCAGCTATTTGGCTCGCTCTTGCCTTGGCCCTTCTCGCGCGGCCTCGCCTTCGACGCGGGCGGCGGCGGGGGCACTGGCGAGATACTCGGCGCCCCAGCGTCGCGTTTCAACTTTTCGCTGCACCCGTTCAAACTAAACCGCCGCCGCGTTTTGACGAGGCCAGTGGCCCGCTGATGGCGAGATGCGCGTGCATAGTCAGCTTGAATCCCCATGCTCATTATTGCCCTCGTAGTCGACCGTCGCGTCGCAGCTGCCGCCCACGGCCGGCCCGGGGCCGCCGCCGTCGCTCACGCGACCGCCGCCCGGCTCTACAGCCAGTCTTTCCATGACAGGCCCATCGGCCCAAGATTCATCTGCCCGCGACTGGATTCTGTCATCATCAATCCAGCCAGAATTGGCGCCCGACGCGGCTGGGCCGGCGGGCGCCAGAGCAAAGGGGGCGGTCCTATAGGACTGCCTTCCTTCCCGGTACCTCGGTCTCGATTCTGGGTGAAGATGTCGCTGGGCTCGCTGCCCCGGAGCGGCAGCGCCGCACGGGGTGCTGTCTTCAACAATTGTGGTTGCAGCATCTGCTGGGGACTCAGCTGGGATTGTCTCTGCGGGAGTCGGCGGGGCCGCTCTCCTCCTTTCTCTTCTTAAGGCAATTGGTAATTCCAACGGCGTTGTCCGCGCTGAAGACTCCAAAGCGGCTGTTGCCAAGACAGATATTGACACTAAAATGAGATTCCGTACGCGTACGCATGAAAACCATAGCTTCTTGGATGACTCAGCAATTCCGTCTTGCGGTCTCTGATACTACCTGTCCTATTCCTTTGGTCCGTTCATGAAGTGGTTCAAATGATTCGGCTGCGGACCTAATCCGACAATCCAAAGCATAAGCATCACGCATAACTTCAAGGGCTGCATTCGCCTTGTGTGGATCGCGCTGCACTTCGCATCCCGGGAATGCAACGTTGCTTCCCGCAGACATGAACAATGCTAATATTTCTCGTGCAACTAACGGAATCCGCCCCCCCATCTCCAGTGAGTGGAAAATCGATCAATTGGTTGGTTCCATATCTTGTCCACGAGCTCGGACAATCCCCTGTGGTGCATCATGAATGACGTCTTTGTCCAATGGCACCGTAGCTGGAACTGTCGATCCATATTCAAGAATGAACTGTGTTGCAGCGCTGTTAACTTCTGGCCTGTCGTATGGTTCACCATTGTACTTTGAGCTAGACATGCAGCCAGACATAGACCCAAACAAACCAAAAGGGCAACGTTCTCGTCGGAACAATCGCCTGATGACGCTGGGCGATTTGTTGGTTGCATATGCCGTCCGGCGTCGCAGCCTTCTCTTCACGTGCTGATAATACTTCATCAATGCGGCTGGGCCGATGATGCAGTTCAACAACAAACCCGGAAATCTATGTCTTGGACTTGGTTCGACGCAGAATTTCGGTTGGCTTCGTTTGAATTTCCCGCTGGCTCTTGTCTTGAACTGATGCAAGTATACATCCTTTTTCCGCCAAGTCTTGTTCCCATCGGTCCCAGCCTGTCTCTGGGCGAGTTTGCTCGGCACTAACTTGTTCCGAATCAGAAACAGCGCGTGCAGAGCATCTGACTGGACGAGCGTATTGGTCCAAATCTGGCGTCCGGATTAATGGCCACCACCCGGCAGCGGTTGGGACATTGTCCCCATGCTTGAACTTCAACCATTTTAATGAATCAGAGCTTGAGTGGCTCCAGATACTGGAAGTATGGCTCATGACGCGCCGGCGGCTGTGCCGAGGCGCTGTCGGGTCTCCAGGAAGGGGCGGTCCTTGGCCGCGAATCTACGAACGTACGACCTGCCGAAGCAGTCCAGGAACGCATCTGTGAGCTGCTAACCCACTTGCGCTGGTGTTGTTCGGATTTGTTCAAATTTTCCAGCGCACCAGAAGCTCTCTTTCATCGCTTTCAGCCGGATAGAAATGATCTTGGAGCCGCTCTCCCCCCTTTGGGGGGGGGGGGGGGGGGGCATCTAGACGTGGAGCCAGCCCTAGGCTCGCGCGTGCAGGCGACGTGCATCTCCGCCAGGCGATTGGAAATAGTTCACTCTGACGTTGTGTTTGTGCGTGGCACGACTGAGGCGCTGTGGAAACTATCCGAAATCAGCCGTCCCGGCATGGTATTGATTGCAAATGTACCTCCCATTGTCAGTCCACATTCTCCGCGTGATGAGGGCCTTTTCTGATTCGGACAGTGTGCTCAGCCCTGCATCGGCCACTTGTTCGTCAGAGAAGATCCACGTTCAAATTTGTACCGTGCGAGAAAGCAACTTCATACGCAGACCACCCTGGTGAAAATATCATGTTCCAGATCATATGCTGTGCATTGCGTGGATTCTGCTCACCCAGCGTCAATTGCACGATGCGAGAGATGTCCTTGAAGCGCGCTCGCCCTGCCGTCGCAGTAGTTCCGTCGCGGCAGATGCGATACCTTAGGCGGGTCACCACCCGCCCGTTGAAGACAACAACATATTGCCAGTTCTCGTTAAGCGTCGCATCAGCTTCCCAGACAGGCGGGGTAACATAACGAGGCCAAGTTCCCTGAGTCGGAGGTCCACCGCCAGCCGGGGCAGCCCCCGCAGCATGATAGACCTTTCCAAGTGGAGCTTCACCATCCTTCCGCTGGCTAAGCCAGCGAGGGACGTGCTCGGCAAATTATGCAGGGAACTCTCGCCTCGTAGGTATCAATATAAGAAGTCATTAAGCAGGTGCTTTGTACAATCCACTGAGCATATTCGGGTGCTTGATGGTCCCTGATCCTAAGGTTGACTCCTTGATGGTTTCTATGGAAATAACGTGCAGCAAATGCCCATGACATCATGACATCGCGCCATCCCGAATTCGCAAGGCGCATACATGCGTTCAATGCTGCGGGCAAAACAAGAATGTCCTTGACATGGGCGAGAGAACGCTGGCATGGGCCCATCCGCCCGTTCAGCCCTATCAGTGGGGATGACTATGTTTCCATGTTCCTCAACAGCGACTGTGTCGCGTGAGGCGTCTGGGTCCAGAAAGGACTGCCAGTGCCCCAGTAGCTTTGCCTCATCAAGAAACATAATGTCGCCAGCCTTTATGCCTAGAGCACCAATCTGTCCCAGTGGTAACATTGCTAGGCCGTGTACTGCAAGAGCAGTGGTGGCACGAGTGATTCCATCGCTCGTCATCTTCCGAATGAGATCGCTCACATACACCCACCCGTCCGATGATCGGGCGCATTCGGCGCAATGTCTGGCCGTGCACACCGCGCACTTGCCTGCGAATTGCGCATCGGAGTGCGCTCGGTGGCTGCGAATTCTCCAAAACTCTGAGCTTCCCAACGTGGCGGGCCCTTGGCCCTGTCTTAACATGTTTGTTCCTCGGCTGCGCCGGTAGCGTCATTCGGCAACACTGGAGAAGTAAATGCATTGTAGGCCTCCTGGGGGATGATACCTGGTCTTTCATCTGAGGCACTCTCTGCTTTGAGAAATTTGATCGCTTGATTAGATCCTTCCATGTCTAGCTCCCCTAGAAGCGCCCAAACTGTTTTGTGCACCATGCGTGCATTTTCCCTGATCATGTGATAGGCACGCCCACGACTGGCTGCGATGCGGGGGGG